CCTTTCAGGACCCAAATGGAGTAGAAAAACTCAAGAGTACATTTTCTGAAAACTTCTGACATTTGCATGCTGCCAACCCAGGGAAAAGGTCAGAGGTCAGAGCCTACCCAGGCCAAGGACTCACAAGCTTGGAGTCCCACAACTTGGGACAGTGCTGACCCAGGGAAGAAGTCAGCGCCTACTCAGGGTAATGAGGCCCAGAACTCAGGGCAAGGACCCAGAAGCCGGTGGCTCCAGAACTCGGGGTGGAAGCTGCTAACCTGGGGAGGAGATAACAGTCATAGCATCGGAGCATTGGAAGCCCGTGAAGGGAAAGCTGTTCCTTCCTGTCAAAAAAAAAAAAAAAGAAATCTACCTCTGAGTAGAAGCCTAACATTTCAAAGAACCCCACACCTAAGTTCTCCACGGTGCTGTTAACACAAACATCACAGTTCTCTCTTCTTTTCCGTTCTCCTCCTCCATGCAGCTGCTGAGATTTATAGCTTGTCTGCCCTGGGGTTGGTTTTTCTTTTCTTTGCTTTTTTTTTTTTATTGACTTTTATTGAGCTCTACATTTTTTCTCTGCTCCCTTCCCTGCCTCTCCCCTCCCCTTCAACCCTCTCCCAATGGTCCCCATGCTCCCAATTTACTCAGGAGATCTTGTCTTTGTCTACTTCCCATGTAGATTAGATCTATGTAAGTCTCTCTTAGTGTCCTCATTGTTGTATAAGTTCTCTGGGGTTGTGATTTGTAGGCTGGTTTTCTTTGCTTTATGTTTAAAAACCATCTATGAGTGAGTACGTGTCATAATTGTCTTTCTGTGTCTGGGTTACCTCACTCAAAATAATGTTTTCTAGCTCCATCCATTTTCCTGCAAAATTCAAGATGTCATTATTGTTTTTTCTGCTGTGTGGCACTCCATTGTGTAAATGTACCACATTTTCCTTATCTATTCTTCTGTCAGGGGCATTTAGGTTGTTTCCAGGTTCTGGCTATGACAAACAAAGCTGCTATGAGCCTAGCTGAGCACATGTCCTTGTGGCACGATTGAGCATCCTTTGGATATAGACACCCAAAAGTGGTATTACTGGGTCTTGAGGAAGGTTGTTTCCTAATTTTCTGAGAAATTGCCACACTGACATCCAAAGGGGCTGTACCAGCTTGTATTCCCACCAGCAATGCAGAAGTGTTCCGTTTTCCCCACAACCTCTCCAACATAAGTTATCATCAGTGTTTTTGATCTTGGCTATTCTTACAGGTGAAAGATGGGATCTCAGAGTTGTTTTTTCTCTGAGAAAAAACTTTTTTTTTTTGCATTTCTCTGATGACTAAGGATGTTGAACATTTCCTTAAGTGTCTTTCAGCCATTTTATGTTGGGAGCCACCTGGAGGCACAGGTGGTCCTGCAGTTTGGAGGTAGCCATGTGGGGCTGAGCACCCCTGCCTGCACCCTTGCCTGCACATGCTCAGACCAGCAGAATGGCATTAACCAATCAGGACAGCGTTCAAGCCGCTCCACCGTTTAAAAGCAGATGCCTCGGGACCCTACTTCCTCTCTCTAAGCTTTCTCTCGTCCCTGCTCTATCGTCCCTTCCCCCAATTTTCCTCAAGGAAATGCTCCAAATAAAGATGTGACCAGAGAAGGAATTCTCGTTTTTGGTGGCGTTCATTCCTGCGGGACAGGATGGCCCCCCGCAATTTTAGATTCTTCTGTTGAGAGTTCTCTGTTTAGGTCTGTACTCCATTTTTTTTATTGGATTATGTGATCTTTTGGTGCTCAATTTCTTGAGTTCTTTGTATAGTTTGGAGACCAGACCTCTGTCTGATGTGTGGTTAGTGAAGATCTTTTCCCATTCTGTAGGCTGTCATTTTGTCTTCTTGACCGTGCCCTTTGCTTTACAGAAGCTTTTAAGTTTCAGGAGGTCCCATTTATTAATTGTTTCTCTCAGTGTCTGTGCTGCTGGGGTTATATTTAGGAAGTGGTCTCCTGTGTCAATGCGTTCACGTGTACTTCCCACTTGCTCTTCTATAAGGTTCAGTGTGGTTGGCTTTATATTGAGGTCTTTGATCCATTTGAACTTGAGTTTTGCGCATGGTGATAGATATGGGTCTATTTTCATTCTTCTACATGTTGAGATCCAGTTATGCCAGTACCACTTGTTAAATATGCTTTCTTTTTTTATTTGATATTTTTTGCTTCTTTGTCAAAAATCAGTTGTTCAAAGATGTGTGGATTGATATCTGGGTCTTCTATTCGGTTCCATTGGTCCTCCTGTCTGTTCTTATGCCAATATCAGGCTGTTTTCAGTACTGTAGCTCTGTGGTAGAGTTTGAAGTCAGGGATTGTGATGCCTCCAGAAATTCTTTTATTATACAGGATTGTTTTGGCTATCCTGGGTCTTTTGCTTTTCCGTATGAAATTGAGTACCGTCCTTTCGAGGTCTGTAAAAAATTTTGCTGGGCTTTTGATGGGCATTGCGTTGAATCTGTTGGTTTTTCTTTTAACTGCCAATAAAATTGTTCTGGAGTATTCTTAGTTTCTTCTTGAATTCTTTCATTAGCTGGGGACCACAGTTTCCCTGGTAACTTGTGGCACCCCAAATGGGTGCCCTCTAAAATTTCCATTTATACATGGCAACCCAAAAAAAAGTTTCTCTGAGGACAAAATGGGTTTCCACATGCCGGGAGAGTGGGTAAGCACATTCCAGAGGCTCCCCCTCCAGTCACTGTTGGGGAGATGCAGCCTGCAGACTTCATCTTCTGTCTACCTGGGAAGGGGGTTCTTCACTGTCCTTCCTCCTCAGGTGGCTTTGTAGTTTTCTTGGGTGGCTTTCCTGTGCTTCTGGGTCTAGCTGTCAGCTGCAGGCCAGGGCCAAGGATTAAGTAACACTAAGCTTAACTCCTGCCTTCTCTCGCTGGCATGGGATCCCTTTCTTTTTTCAAAAGGGGTGGCTGCTATTACGTAACGATTTCTGGGTGTGTCGAGTGCCATGTTACGGTAAGGTCAAGTCCTTTCCTACTTTAGACTAAGGAAGTTCATTGGATTTTCACAGCCTTAGTTTACATGATGGCCTACTGGGTTCTGAAGAGAACTTTGGGTTTCCCTAGCCGTGGACCTCCAACACTGGCCAGACGCTACAGGGAATGAATGCTTTGAGACGGCTGGACCTGGGAGGCTCATGTGAGGCTGCAGAGGTCCAAGGGCCAAGACTGAGGGGTGGGGTGGAGATGGTGGCACAGATCCCACTCCGGATCCCAATGACAGACTTCATTGTTCTAGACAAGCTGCTGCCGATGGGAAGGCGGCCACACAGTCATCTGTGGGTTGAGGTTGTTGGGCCGGAGATTAGGGTACTGGCTTTATGAAGTCTTAATGCCTGCCCTTTCTGCCTGAATCTCTGGGCCTGCTTTTTTCGCACACTTAGCTGTCTGCTTTCGCTGGTGTTTTCCTTTTTTGTATTTGGTATGCTGTGGTTTATGGAGTCTATTGTTGCTGTCGTTTTGAGGCAGAGCTTCTCTGCATAGCCCTGGCTGTTCTGGAACTAGCCCTATAGATCTGTCCGCCTCTGCCTCCCAAGTGCTGGAAGTGTGCGCCACTAACCACCCAGCTAGATTATGGAGTCTTACATCCAAGTTATACACACAGTAAACTACATGGAGCTCTCCCAATCCAGGCAACTTGACTCATAGCTCCTTAAGTGAGGCATTCACCCCAGGTACTTTGTTTCCTACATAGATCTTAAAATGGGGTGTGGGTGGACAGATTATAAAGTTGGAGCAACACAAAGTCCAGAGGGAACATGCAAGGAAAATAACAGAAGTTCAACCCAGGAGGGAGAAAACGAAGCAGAGTTTGTGAGAGCCAAGTGATGCCTGACCAGCCAGCCTGTCGATGAGGGGCCTGTCCTCAGCCCAGGCACACACCGCAGCTGTAGCCAGAAATAGGAGGTGTTTGGACACGTGGAATGGCAGTTCTGGTGCCACCAAGACCAAGCAAGACATCAGATGACTCTCAGGAGATGGTGAAGCGAGGCAACCCATGGCTGGCACAGGAGAGGTGGCAGTTGGGAGGAGGCAGAGCGAGGCAGCCTGGGAGAGCCCATGTAAACAGTTGAACTTGAGCGGTTAGATCTGGACCGTAAGCTAGACATGTCTCTACCCGGCTCTAGAGAAACCTCGGTGGTGGCAGGGCTGCAGGAAAAGGGATTGAGCATGCTCCATCATCATTCTGCAAGTCCCTCCCCCCCCCCCCAATGTCACCTCATTTTATAGTTGCAGCATGTGTTAGTAGTGTCCCCTTTATGTGACAGAAGACAAGGGAATGTGTGTTCAGGACAATCAGTGGGGACTGTGTGATGGAAGGGAAGACAGAACCTGGGGCCAAAGTTCCCAGCCATTCCCCAAGCTCAGAGGGTCTCCATCTGATGTCAACATCACCCCCAAAACTGACTTAAAACAACAAGCACCTGCTCCTCACAACGTGTTTAGTTAAGAGCTCAGAAGTAGTTTTAGCATTGCCAGCTACAAGTTTTTGATGATATTGTTTGATCTGGGCCAGGGCTGTGGCCCTTCAAAGGCTTCAGAGAGGCTGTGGGATCCATCTGCAAGGCGTTTTAGCCCCCCACATGGCTGACAAGCGGTGCTGGTCGCTGTGAGGACCCCTCAGTTCCTGCCCACGCGGGTCTTTCCCCGCAAGCTACTTGACTGAATGTCATTAAAACGTGGTGGTTCCAGAGAGGTGGAGGAAAAAGAGAGGATCTTTTCATGGTCTTGCACTAGACAGCACCTAGCTTCACTACTGCCTCAGCACACGACCAGTTGAACGCCAATCAACAATGCCAGCCCACATCCAAGGGTAAGGGATGTTGCACACCATCTTCTGCTGAGGGGAAGAGCAACCTCTTTCTCTACTACTACTTCACACCAGCTTCTGCTAACTGTCAACAGAGAACCACAGGGAGTGGGAGGGGCATCATGAGCCCCACCCCCTAGAAACTGTTAACTGCCTCTAAAGCCACTGGGGAAGGGCAAGGGACTCAAGTATTCTCCCTAACTGTTAACTGCCTGTAAATCCCCAGGGAGGGGCAGTCCTCGTGGGCCCTCTCTGGCTCCATGATAGGTAGTTTCATGAGCTTAGTTTTGTTTTGTTTTCTAGACAGGATTTTTCTATAGCTTTAGAGTCTGTCCTGAGAGTTCAGGATGCAGCTGACATGGATCCAGCGGACCGCTTTCCGCAAAGCCACTTAGACTCTATGTTGCTTATTTTTTTTTTCAAATCAGGTTTTCAGTAACAGTTATAATTTTCTACCCCCCAAAAGGATAAGGTGAGCGGTCCCCCTCCTTTACACCTAAGGGTAGAAGCATCGACTGCTTGTAAGCATAAACCTGAGTCACTGCCCTCAGCTCCAAAGTTTCCACATTCGAGGGAAGAGGACGCTAGACACCATCTCTTGAAAGAGTCATGGAATTTGTGGGTCTATTTTTCAACTGCCCAAGTGCAGGAAAAGCACCCTTTTCTCTGCCACTTCACTGATTCCCAGTACTTCTGACACCAGCTGGAGAGGGGGTACACCAAGAAACTTTCTAGCTCTCTGGAGACACCAGCTTTGGGTCCTAGAGTCAGCTGGACTTAGCTCTAGTGCTAACTAGTTAACTAGCTGGAGTTAACTAGTGCCAGCCTGCTCAGATAAGGGCTCAGCTCTACCGCAGTCCCTGTTCAGATGGCAGTCACAGTCCAGGTTGTCACTAGAGCGTCCTACCAGCTAGACGGCCACCTCAGGGTGATTCCTTGCTAGGATGACTTGGAGCCCAGGAAAACAGTTCCCTTCCTACTGCTGACAAAGAATTCTGGGGAGCAGTGGACAGCCAGGGGAAGAGGTGCATAGGTGAGATGAGCTGGGAAGGCTCCGGGAGCATGGTGCTGGGGGCGGAACATTCCTTCCCTGTGCATGTGTTCATCGACCCAGAACCTTTGTGATCCCCATGTTTGGGGACTTTTATGGAAGCCTTCATCATACAAACCTGATTGACTTTTGAGACATGGTCTTGCTATTAGCCCAGGCTGGCCCAGAATTGGTAAACCTGCATCCTAAGCATTCCGAGGGTGGGGGTTCCAGTGTGTGTCCCCATACCTGGCCTGTCTGTGCCCACCTCCTTACTCTCACCAGGACACATGGACTGAAGCTGACCATCTCAGGCATGCAGTTGTGGCTTGTTCTTGCTGATGACTAACTTTCATCCAGAAGCCCACCAAAAGTGACCTCATCCAAACAAATGGTGCTCCAGCCGCAGTGGAAATGTCCCGGTGATTTAGGAGCTCTGTGCAGCAGCTGGGGAGCAGGTACCAAATATGTGTTTCCTGACGGGGCACGTTCCCTCAGACAAGAAACTAGAAGCCATTATTAACATTTCAAACCAAAAAGACTATTTTCATTTCTTTAGTATATAATGTTAGTGTGTCCTCGTTTATTACAGTAAATCGATTGCACGAAGGAATGGGCCTCGCTGTGACTTTCTGCTTTAGTTCTTTGCTGACGCTGTGCACCAGCTGTGCACGGTTTGTGCGTGTGGATGCAGGTGTTCACAGGGTCCACAGGAGGGCATCACTTCCCCCTGGAGCTGGAGGTAAAGCTGGTTGTGAGCCACCTGGCATGACTGCTGTGCGCCGAGCTTTGCTCTGGGAAAAAGCAGCACGTGGTCTTTGGTCACCGGACCATCTCTCCAGCCACTTGGACAACACACTTTGACGGCATGTGCCTCCTCCACCGCCATGTCGTCTCTCCTCACCGGAGTTCCTACTCCCCTTCTCCAGAAGTCTGTCTTCTACTTTCGTGTCCCCAAAGGGATTTTGTCCAAGCCATTGGTGCCCTTTGTTGAAGGTACTGGGGTTGGCGACAGCTGGTGAGGGACAGTACCTCTAGCTTTCAGTTTCCTTTGTCACAGCTGCTTTCCAGAATGTCAAGGAGCCGGGGCATCTTTTGGAACACTGCCAAGGTCACTGTAGTCTCGTGGTCCCCAGGCTGTCGACTGGTGTGGGGGTGTCCAGGTGGCCTCTGGAGCTGCACATCACGACGGCAGAGGAGGAATCAGACGGCCACCATCTCTTCTCTCCCTAATGCATCTCACACAAGCGCACATTACCAGCAACACCTCTGGCCAGGGAGTCATGAAGTGTCTGCTTCCTGGGTTTCCTGATCCTGCACAGAATGAAGTGGCGATTTCCACTGGGCTGGTCCAACTCTGTACCACACCTCTACATCCAGGCGTGATGAGAAAAACCCCACCTTGTACTTGAAAGTACCCTGGTGCCTGCCACGCCCACTTGTACTCGACAAATGGATGTTCAAGGCTCTGGAAGAGTAGGGAGGCCCACAAAGAGTTACATGGTAGAGGCCTAACTGTCAGAGACCCAGTGTCACTCTGGCCAGTCAGCAGGTAAGGTAATGGCTCCTGAGATACCTGGGATTGATCCTTAGGTTTTCTCTCTGTAACGAAGGACAGATGATCTGCAGGCCACTGAAAGCATAGCCCTTTTTCAAACCACTGGGGGCGGGGAGAGCGTCTATAAAGAAGTGCCCCTTCTTCAAATATTGTCTGCGCAGGGCCTCGTGCATGTTAGGACGCTAGGCAAGATCTCCCTCCTGCACTGCCCTTTTACTTGGACAGCACTGGGCTACTTATTTAAGCAATGGGTCCTTCCCACCTCCCCTTCCCAGCCTCCTGCCTCCCTTCTGAAATCAATCTCCAAGCCAGAGATGTATTTCTCAAGCCTTGCACATTCACTTACACTACCAAGACACCACAGGTTAGGTAGGTGGCAAAGGTTCTCTGGTTTCTTCCATGCTGGAGGTCATCGGGGAGAGGAGTTGGTGAGGGGCAGGACAGAACAGTCAGTGCCAGGACGGCCGGTGTCTAGTTAAGTCTGACAGGGAGGCTGGGGTCCCACCTTCAGGCTGCCTGACACAGGTAACATTGCCCAGATGGACATCCACCTTGTAGCTCAGGGCCTCTTACCAGGCCCCGCAAACTCTGGCTCCTAATGTCATGGGGTGAAGTTCTGTCATTTTGAGACCTGGGCGATAGGAGAGAGGGGAACACACCCTAGTCCCCAGTCCTTTGAGTGGGGTGGGACTTGAAGCCTACAGCAGAGGTGGAAAGAGGAAAAGGTGGAGGCTTTAATACACGGTAACATTGAAGGAGGGTTTGGTGTCATCTGTGGAGAGTTTGGGTCTGCGCTGAAGGAAACTGCAGATGCTACAAAAGCTTCCAAGGAAAGCAGATTCGCAAGGAAGATGCAGCAGTAAGGCAGACCCAGGGCCAGCCAGAGGGCTCAGCCCGGGAGTTCAGTCCTGAGTTCAGTCCCAGGAATCTACATGGTAGAAAAAAAAAAAAAACAGCTCCTACAAACCATTCATTTACCTCCACATGCACACGGTGGCACGTTCCCTTCTAACACACACACACAAAACCAAATTTTACTTTAAGCGCTCACTTTGGCAATACGTATAGTAAAATTAGAAAGATACAGAGATTAATAACACAACCCTGTACAAGGATGGCATGCACAATTAATAATATATATGAATATATTAAATTTTACTCTGAAAAGCAAAGCTAGGAGACTCACCCATGGACTACCAATTGTACTCTGGCCTTTTTGTTTGTTGTTGTTGTTGGGATAAGGGGTTAACATAGGGTCTCAACACTGTCATCCAGGCTGGCCTTGAACTCACCTTGATCCTCCTGCCTCAGTACCATAAATAGTAAACTTCCTCTCTAAAATAATCATTCTTTGAGACAGGGTCTCCAGTAGCTCAGGCTGCTACCCTACTACTATATATCTAAGATAGAGTTTGACATTCTGGCCCTACTGTTTAAAACACCTGAGTGCTGGGATTGCAGGACTGTGCCATCATGCCTCAGTGCTGGGATGGAACCCAGGGGTTCATGAGCTGGACAATTACAACTGAGCTACATCCTGGACTTATTATTGTATATGTAGGGTAAGAATATGGCAGAGGGGGACAGTGCACATACAGAGGTAAGAGCACAGCTCTGTGGTACTGATTCTATCCTTCAACCTTTATGTAGGTTCCCTTTATCAAACTCGGGCTTGCAGCAGGAGCAGCAGCAGTAAGCACCTGTAATCACAGAACCATCCGGGTGCCCTGCCCTGGACTTCTTAACCACATTATTCCACAAGAACGCAATAAGTTTCTTTCTTAGCCAACTATATATTGGTTCTTTCTTTCAGTGTGAACTTATAACCTAATAAAAGGAATGAATTAGCCATTGCCACAGTAACTCGATGGAACAAACCATTCTGAACTGTAGGGGTTGTAATGGTTGTTCTGTCTCTTTACGAGACAAGCCATGCCCACTCCCTCCCCCATCCGCTGAGGCAGGCAGATCTTCAGCTTCCCGCCTGAGCTCACTCCCTTTTCTGTCTTCCTCTCAGAGAGGCAGCTTTGCTTCTGCCTCTCTCCCTACTTCTTCGCTCCCCCCCCATTCTGTCTCTTTCTCCTCTCCCCCCCCCCCCCGTTCTTCCTTCCCCCTCCATAATCCCCTGAATAATTCAACCTCACTCTGAGGTCTGTCTATCCAAGTCTCTGTCTCCTGCCCGCCCGCCATGTGTCTCCTTGCCTGGGACCAGCCATTGCTCTGGGACTGGCAGCCGTTTCTGCCTGGGACTGGCTGCTCCCAGAGCCCGCTGTCTGCCGCCACATGACCCACTACCACCATTTGGGACCAACAGCATTTCTGCTGCCTACTGCCGCCGGGGATCTTGCACATTTTTAAAAACATAAAAAGGGGTTAGAACAAGAATCCTTTCTGGTTTTCAGCTGGCTATGTTAGTGACGCCATATTGCTGGCTGGTTTCCAACTCCCTGCAGCCCAGTTCCACCCTGTTGACTCTGTACCAGGCTGGAGAGGCAGCAGATACCCAAGAGAGGCTCTCCTGTGAAAACAGAGACCAGTGCAGTGTCAAGAAGCCTCTGCAAACACATGCTCACTTTGTTCGTCATGCCACAGGCCAATGCAAGTCAGTGGGGTGGGGCGGGGGAGCCCAATGCCAGGAAACAGGAAAGGACAATCCAGCCACAATGAGACTGAATGCTGGGAAGTGCTGGAACTCCCTCAGTGTGCGAAGGTCCTGGTTTGGAAACTGTATAACCTGGGCTCATTCCTCTAGTGTTCACTATCATGACAGGAAGTGCCTGGTGGACTGAGTTCTCTATGGGGTCAGAATCCCTGACAGGGCAAGAACAATATCTCCTTCCTCTTTAGCCCCCTTCCTTCCCCCAGTGCTTAGCACCAAGTTCTGCCTAGAGAATGACTCGGGAATATTCCCGAATGCATTTCAGTCTGTCCCTTCAGCCTCCCGTGTGACTCATGAAATACAGACCAGTTTATTGAAGGTTATTACATTCCGGTCAATACTTCCTCAATAAATTGTAAAGAGACTGTGTCCTTTAGAGCTGAGGTCTGTGCCCAGAGGTGTCTGGTACACCAAATCTTCAGTCTACTGGTACCAGGCTCAGGCACATGGGTATAAAGGGTACCCTGGGACTCTGACTCACGACAGTTACTCCCTAGTCCCTACAAAGGGTTATTCAATGTCAAGCTATTTCAGGGTTAGGCTGATAAAGGAGAAAAGATGGTGGGTGAGTGTGTCATGGGGTGTCTTGATTATAATGATTATAATATACATCATATAATATATATATGGATGATTTTCGATCCCGTTATAAAAACTGATGGCCCGACCTCCAGGACTTTGGTGGTAGATTTTTAAAATGAGAGAGAAACTAGAAAAACCTGCTCCTAAGTAATGTAAGGGTTGGGAAGTAAGGCTAGACCAGTGGAGCACGTGTCAGATAAGACCAAGATCACGTGGTGTTTGTTTGGCTTTTGTTTGTTTTGGTTTGTTTAGATAGGGATTCTTTGTCTTGCCCTGGCTGTCCTGGAACTCACTCTGTAGGCCAGGCTGGTCTCAGGACTCACAGAGATCCTCCTGCCTCTGCCTCCTGAGTGCTGGGATCAAAGGCACGCCCCATCACTGCCCAGGTCAAAGTAATAGTTTATGTGTCTTTAATTTGTAATTTTCCTTCTGAGCCATCACCTGTGCCCCCAAACATTCAGACCCAGTCATTCTACAGTTGTGGAGGAGGGTTCACTCCTGCTGAGAGAATTATTGACCTGGTAACCCCCAAATGAGAAGCAGACATTGTGCCCTTGGCCTTTAGATGCTGAAGCCCAGGGTGAGTTGGACCAAAGCTCAGGCCAGTAGAGTTTGGGTTTGGGGATGACATTTGGTGGGCAAGCCTGGCCTAAATTCCATCCCCACATAAAGGTGGGAAGAGAGAGAAAATTATATAAAATCATCTACAGACCTACACACACAGAGAGAGAGAATAAGTAAATTGGGGTAGATCATAAGAGAAGTTTATAATTCAGCTACTCTGTGTACTCTTTTATTATGTTTTTAATTAAAGTAATTTTAAATTTAAATATACTTTGATCATATCCTCCCTCCCCTAAGTTGTTCCATATCCTCTCCTTCCAACTTTAAGTTCTTTCTCAAAAAACAACAAAAACCTTCAAAAACTACAGAGAAACCCTGTCTCAAAAAATCAAAAAAAAGAAAAAGCCCAATACTACAATGTCAAGAAAACAAAACAACACTCAAAAAGAAAAATAAAACTGTAACCAAATAAAAGCAAACAAAAAACTATGGAATCCATTATATGTTGGTCAACTACTCCTGAACATGAAGCATGCCCTAGAGTGGTTGATGTTCTCCATCGGAGAAAACCGATTTTCCCTCTCCCAGCTGGTATAAATGACAGTTCAGTTGTTAACCTTAACCCCAATGGCTAGGTTTTCATTCATTCTTTAAAATTATTTTTAATTTATATGCCTAGATGCATGTCTGTGTGAGGGTGTCAGATTCCTGGAACTGGAGTTACAGACAGTTGTGAGCTGCCATAGGGGTCTTCTGGAAGAGCAGTCAGTGCTCTTAACTGAAGAGCCATCTCTCTAGTCCTTCATTCATGTTTTAAACATAACAAAATAAAATGTAACAAGGCAAAAAGGACCACATGAAAGGACAAATGAACAGAAGGAAAAGAATCCAAGAGAAGGCACAAGAATCAGAGACCCACTCGTTTGCACTCAGAAATCCAATGAAAGCATAAACTGGGGGCCAAAATATAAACATGGAGGATCTGCGGCAGACCCATGTTCACAGTTCCTCAGGAAGATGGGACTCTACCTCAAAATCCAGTTATACCACTCTTGGGCAAATACCAAAGAACGCTTTAGCCTACCACAAAGAGACTTGTTCAACCGTGTTCCTTGCTTCTCTAGTCAAAAACAGTCAGAAACTGGAAACCATCTAGATGTCCCTCAGGAGAAGAAAGGATAAAGAAAGTTGGTACATTTACACAGTGGAGTACTACTCAGCCATTTTTTAAAAAATGACATGAAATTTATAGGCAAATGGATGGAGCTTTAAAAAATCATCCTGCGTGAAGGCATCTTAAACAGAATCTCCAAATAACATTGGAGACAAAGTCCCACCCGGCTATCTCTTGTCACCAAATGAAATGTCAGTACAGGGAGTGGGTTACATCTAACTGAGTTGTTGGCCAAAGGGACCCCATGGACATCCTCAAACAGTCCAGGGTGTTGCTAAGACTCTATGTTGCTGTCCACAAACTGACAGCAAGGTCCCATTGTTGAACAACATCTACGCAACTCACTGAACCTAGAGACGGGGATTTTGTGCCTATATTGAGCCTTTGCCCTAGCGTCTTTCGTACAGGAAGGTACTTTGCACACTACCAGATGTGAAACCAAACACCTAGCCAGCAATAAACCCTAATGACGCACTGCCTGCAAGATATGCCAGGGCAACGGCGGCCAAAGCTTGTAGGTGTAACCAACCTGTAACTGATTTGACTTTAACTTCAGATGGAACCCATATCCGACATGCTTGGGGTGACCAAGAACCAGAGACTAAATAGCCCAGAGACCTAGGGTAAAACCAAATACTAAGTCTTAAAAAAAAAAAAAAAAAAAAAGGTAGTAATAAAATGAATCCTAATGATACTCTGCTATACTCAGATCGGTGTCTTGGTCAGCCATCATCAGAGAAACTTCCTCCTGCACCAGATGAGAGCAAATATGGAGACCCACAGCCAGAGAGTGAGAGGCCTTGAAACATTCAGCCCCAAATGGGATGCCTCCATCAAATCCCTCCCCTTGGAGCTCAGGGAACCCCAAGGGAGAAACAGAAAGGGTATAAGAGGGGATGGAGGACACCAAGAAAACAAGGCCTTCTTAATCAACATGAGCAAAGCTCATATGAACTCACAGGGACTGAAGCATATTCACTATGGCAAGTTCTTAAAGGATTCTCTTTAACATTCCCCACTTCTGTGGCCCACACTTAGGCCCACACTTTTGGGCAAAGTCTGCAAGGGTATAGTACCTACACCGCCCGCCCTGCCCTTTCTTAGCCACGCTCCAGCTCTCGACAGTTTTCTTCGGGAGTCCATTCGGAAAGACAGGTGTCACTTTCTGTAATGGAACAAAAGCAATTAAACGGTGAGAAGACAAAAAGCAGGTCCTCCGGGCTTCATGCCTCAAGGGGCTGACCGCAAGCAAATTAAACTAACACATCCAAAGGAGCGCTCAGGGAGATCACGTGGTATAAGACAAGCCAAAACAACTGTTTCCTGGCTCCGAAAAAACAGACTGTAAGGTCCCAGTTGGGTCCAGGATCTGCCCCCTCCAGTACTAATTCCCTTGCGGATACACTGGGGTTTGTGGTCCCACAAGTGCGCATTTTCGGCTTAAGGAGAAGAAACGTCAGCCCCCAAATCGCACAGATGGGGTTGAGGGTCAGGTCTGAGGTGAATCTGCTGGAGGCAGGCGGCCTGGACGCTCCGAGTCCTCCGAGCCTCTCTCTCTGCGCTGCCCAAAACCCGGGTTCCTGAGCCTCAGGACCGCTCGACTGCACCTAAACCCTCGCCCAGCAAAGACAGGTAAAAGCTTTCGGCCCTGCCCCTCGACTACTCTAGGCCTCACGATTGGCTTCGCGGGCCGGAGGCGGGGCCGGAGAAGCGAACCAACGTGATGGCGTCAGACGCCGCGCGCCGCTTCCTGTTGTCAGTGCCTCTGGAGCAGCAGCTTCTGCTGCAAGCTGAGGGAGTCGCCTTCCCAGGAGCACCGCCTGCTGCCCCTATTACCTATGGTGAGTCTGGGTCTGGGAGTGAAGGGAAGCAAGGGGCGGCGGGCCGTGACGCGAACCGGCGGTGGGTCTGCAGCCTC